CTGTTCTGTTCTGTTCTGTTCTGTTCTCACCTTAGTTACGCTGCTATCTTCCAACTCCCATTATCTTTTAAAGTCTTACCCACAAAAACTTAACACTCTATCGAAAACTTAACAATAAACATACTCGTAGTAATGAAGAAAATTCCGTACGCGTTTTTGTCATTGGCTATCACTCGGGATTATATTGATTGTTAACAACAAAGTCAAGAAAATACTGGTAATTTAAATTAGGAAGCTAAGACGACAGTAAATTTTCTTAAACAAATAGTGGCTTAATGTGTAAAAAATATATTAATAATGTAAAATAAGTTTACAATTATCATTATAATTTGAGAAGAAGGCCATGTGTTGTTCTCCTTCGAATATTTCCTTTTTTTTTTTTCTTTCTAATTTTTTTCAGCGGCCAAATTTTCCAAAATCAAACAGACAAGCCTTAGATCCCATCCTGTCCCAAACCACTTACGAAAAGTAAATTCATCACAAAATGCCATTCTTGTGAAATCAGTAGAAAAGAACTCAAAAATTGATTAAACAAGAAGAAAAAAAACTTTGGAAACACTTGCAACAGAAAATCTCAGTTCCATATAATGAAAAAATAAAAAAAGAATTTTAAAAAGATAATGGGATTTAACATTGGATTGCACAGAGTTGCTCTTCTTCAACTGGATTCCAATTGGAATTTAGAATAAGTTGCTTTTTGCGAATGGAAAACAAGGAGCCCTCGAAGCACAGGAGAGAACCAACAAGTAACTGTATTCGCTTACGACCCCGAGCCATGGGGGACTCGAGCTATATATATTGGCAGATGATAAACGAAAGTGGCCGAAAATTAGCAATACTAAGAACGTACTTAAGACACGTGTGTAGATACTATAAGACAGCAAGGTCGAAGAAAGGGTTACTTGACTACTGGATAAATGGCAATAAAATTTACAGGGAACTTTTCGTGGAAAAAATCTAACAAAAGAAAGATGCTATGTAAACAGGTCTAAAAAACCTGAATAATTATCTAAGGGTATTGTTTAATGTAAGTGGACTCTCAGTGATATACGATCTTTCTAGTAACTGGAATTGTATTTGATATATGTACGTTGGAAAAGGATTTGTTTGCAATTCTCATGTCATAGCTTTTAGGTGAAAGATGTCGCGGTAAATGGCCTTCACAAAATGTAGGATATGTTGGATAAAACTTAGACTCAAAGATATTCGATTGATGTTTGTGACAGTTAAGGGGCATTTTGGCCATCAAAAAGATTATCGTAGCAAAGATTGGGATGGGAAGTTGAAAGACGAGGAGAGAGATGGTGTTACGGACCAGAGGAAAATCATAAAGAGAATAGAAGAATAGAAGTGAAGAAGAATAGAAGTGACATGCAATATAAGCACTGAATTTCATATCAAAAAAACAACAACAAACAAACAAACAAACAAAACAAAAACAAAAACAAAACAAAAACAAACAAACAAAAAACAGGAGAGAGTAAAAAGAGAGAGCGAGAGACAGGAAGACATTCAATTTGGAAAAACTGTTTTTCGTTTCCTCATGGAAAAATAGAACAAAAATGAAAAGACAGAGATGGCTTTTGGGTAGACCGGTTAGAGATGCAAGACAAGAGCTTAAAACTTCTAAGTTTAAGATGAAATTCTACACTAGAATGAAGGTAGAAGGTAGAAGTATAAGCAGGAAATAGGAAAGCGAAAGTTAAAAAAAAAAGACAAGGAAGTGAGAAAAAATTTTTTTTAAAATATAAATCAATACGTTTCTACTTACCCAAATTGAGTTTGTCCGAATCCGAGAGGACCAAAAGCCAAAAGTGACTCAACCGTTCGCTCCTGCAGAACTTAAATAAGGAATATCCCCCCAGATAAAAATCAGATTAATGACACTCGTCTTCCGTAGGCTTACCAAAAGCGAAGACAATGCCACTTCGCCAGAAACAAAGACCCTAAAGAGAGCAAACATACTAACGACAGGTCTACTAATGACTCAAGGGAGTACCAATAATATCATATATGAAGGGTGTTTACGACAACAAAAATGTGGGTAATATTTACGACTGTTTGCGCCTAACGACCGAACGTCCCGTTACGAGTGCAGTTTAATAAATGTTAAATAAATGTTCCAGTGTTTAGTATTAGGATTGTTTGGCTGCTTGATGGTTGTCATGGTACCGTAAGGAATCCGTTAGGTCGTTATATGTGGCATTGGACACCTTTGGGGTGATTAAGGATGTGTTTGGAGTAAAGTAGGGAATTGGCTGAGATTTCATTGAAGCTCAGTGGTTTTGTGTTTGTCTTGATCTCTGTGTGCTGGTCCTGTTCTTCTACTTATTGTCTGTATTGACTGTCTGTCTGTCTGTTTATCTGTCTGTCGTTAGGGTTCAGTTTTATATCACCTGTGTGCCTCTTTTTAGAACTGTCCGTTGAGACGGTTTAAGTGCTTTCTTTCTTTCTTGGTACATCCCTCCCTCCCCCTCTCTCTTCCTTCCTTCGTGCCTTCTTTTTTCCTTCTTTCTTTCCTTCCTTCCTTCCTTCCTTCCTTCCTTCCTTCCTCTCATCTTTTATCCGTTTTTCTTCAATTTTCTTCTCTTCTCTTTTTCTTCTTCTCTCTCTATGCCATTTGTGGCAAAACGTGCATCAAGTCTAACATGTTTTTATAAAATCAAGACATTTAAATCCAATTAATTCTGCTTTGTAAACTCGTAAAGGACTCTCCATCGATTAAGCCTAGCTATCTACGCCATCTCACGCGTCACTTGCACTCTACCCTTAATTTAACGACAAAGTGAATAAATTCTCAAGCGCGATGGGTCAAGGTCTGCCTCACCATTGATAGGATTGCATAGAGTTCAAAATACTTGCCTGAGATAGTATTGTCCTATATTAAAGGCCGTTAATTGAATGGGATGTTAAGCTATTAAGAAAACTTTGTTCGTCGATTTTTCGTGTGTTAAATTGAATTAAATTATACCTGTATATATGGTATAATAACATATTCAACTTTTCCTATTTTCTCATTTCACAAGTTTTTGTGTGTTAAATTATAGTTCGAAATGCTAAATAAACACTGAATATATGTGGTGGAAAAGATAACTAATTAGTTGTAAAAGAAAAAAGAAAAGAATACAGATACAGCTCATAGGTACGATGTGATATCTGAATAACTAATTATCAAATTATAGATTGAAGAAAAGGGAGCTCACTATTGTAACATAAAAAGTTTTAATGTGATAATTTGACTTTACCCTAATTTCTTTAGCTATGTAATTTCTATTTCAAATATATTTTTGTAAATAAGAGGTGGCAATAAATCTAAAATCTGAAATATTATTTTTAGAAAGATTAAACGTCGAATAAATGCAACAAAAACAACAACAGCAGCAACAACAACAACAACAACAACAAACAAAAAACAAACAAAAAAACAAAAAACAAACAAAAAACAAAAACAAAAAACAAAAAACGACAACAAAAACAACCACAACAACAAAACCCCGAATTATTACATTTGAAATGTGAGAGGTACAAAATATATTTAGATCTAATTGGATTTTTTGTTCAGAATACTAAAATTCACAACCGACGGTGTGCAGAATTTGTGGTCCATTTTGTCAATGTTATGTCGTTGGGGTGGAACTGAGTTTCTGCGTATATTGCTGTGTACGATACGTATATATATGTAATATATATATATTCCATCTTTCTCTTAGTTTTTGTTTTCTTTGTATGTAATAAGTTGCCTGTTCTGTAAGGGAAGCTATTTCCTTTTTCAGGTTCCTTCCCATAGCTTTTTCTCTTTTCTTTTTCTTATGGTGAGTGTGCAAAACCAAAAAAGAGAGATATGAAGTTAGACAATGCAAAGAAACTGCATTTTTCGTATTTGAAATGCGAATGAAACACCAAATAACGAGGCTAGTCTGGTCAGCCAGGAGTTTCAAATTTAGGAAAAAAGTATATATTTTTCATGATCAGTACTCGATATTTTTCAAGCAATGCAACAAAAATAAAAACTTCAAATTCAAAGATTATTGTAACAAATATTCAAGAGGAAAAAAAGCCCAAGTAACTGTTTTTGCTAAGTTTTTATTTCAAAGATTGATTGCTAATTTATATTTTTAAAATATGATAAGTTATAGCTCGACATTATCCCATTCTTTCAATTACTGATTAATTAAAAAACGCGGTATGGTCGTTTGTTTCATCATCCGTCATAATTTCAGGACGATCACTTGGCGGGGTAATTCCAGGCTGATTCTGTCCTGTGACAGACGTCGGGGGACATTACACGTTGTACATACAACCGCTTGAGAGAACTGAATGAGTGGGGGGTGGACTTGTGTCGAACGGGGATTGGGCAATACTTAAAAAGATTACAAATGCTATGGGTTTGAATTTAATGAACAATTAAAAATAAATAAATTACTAAATTT